AGCATCATCCTTCATTTTAAATGCTCTCTCACATATTAGTCAAAATAGCAAAAAACAAAAAACAAACAACCCCCCTCCCAGGACCTTTGCTAATGTTCCTGATTTCTCATATAAACTTACCTGAAGGGCTCTCTCAGCTCACTTTTAAAAATCACTTTTAAGCTGGGCATGGTGGCGCACACCTTTAATCCCACCACTCGGGGAGGCAGAGGCAGGCGGATCTCTGGGAGTTCAAGGCCAGGCTGGTCTACAAAGTGAGTTCCAGGACAGCTGGGGCTACAGGGAGACCCTGTCTCAAAAAGACAAAAAAAAAAAAAAAAAAAAATCACTTTAAAAAAGAAAGATCTGCTAGCAGTCAAGGCTGTTTTTCTTTACTTAGAAATGTGTTACCGTCTCCATTTTGGGGGGATAGATTCCCTGTCATGGGAGTCTTCATACTTCAGGAGATCAGCCAAGTACCTTTGGACTTCATGGCTGCTCTGGAGGGTCCCTCCTCCGGCTACTTTAGTCTCTCTTGCCGCACCCTGGACTGCCTTCTGAAGCCCGTTGAGCTTAGTGTTTCCAACACATTCGGGCAGCTTCTCACCACTCTTCACTACCGTCTCTCCTACAACTCTCGGGCATCACGTGCTGGCTAGTGCTGGGCAGACCCGAGGCTTTATTTTACTTCAGTCTTTTCTTCCCCCTGGTTTTGTTTCTCAAATTTGATTATCTCAGTGATCTACCTTCCAGTGTGGCTTCCACCAACCCAAATTTAACTACTTCACTACACAAGGACATTGAACTGGATGGTAACTCCCTGGAACTGAAATTAGACAGTTGTCGTTGCCATGTGAGTTCTGGGACCCAAACTCCCTCTTCAAACAGCCAGTGCTCTTAACCACTGAACCATCCCTCTAGTCCCAGAAGTTAAAGAAATCAAATGGACGTTCTGATCATTCAGTAGTCAAGAATATTGGTTGTTCTTGCAGAAGACCTAGGTTCGAATCCCAGCACCTGCATGGCAGCTAACAACTGTCCATAATTCCAGATCCAGGGGATCCAATGACCTCTTCTGTCCTCCACAGGCATTGCACAACACGGGTGCACTTAGCTACATGCAGGCAATACACTCATACACATAAAATAAAAATAATAAAAATATTTTTAAAAATTACTTTTATTTTATGAGTATTTTGTCTGCATGTAAGTGCACCCATGCGTGCAATGCTCGTAGATGCCAGAAGATGGGGTTAGATCCCTTGGAACTGTAGTTACAGATAGTTGTTAGCCACCATTTGGGACTCAAATTTAGGTCCTCTGTTAAGAGCAGTCAGTGCTCTTAACCACTAAGCTATCTTTCCAGCCCCCCAAAAACTTTTAATGTTTTGCCTGCATCTATGTATGTATACCATGTGTGTGCCGAGTCTCCTTTGGAGCCAAGGCGGTACTGGATCCCCTGGAAATGGAGTTATAGACAAGTTGTAAGCTGCCATGTGGGTGGTGGGAACAAAACCTGGGTCCTCTGTAAGAGTAGAAAGTGCTGTTAACTACTGAGCTATTTCTCTAGCCCCCCCCCCTTTTTTTGAGACAGGGTCTCCCTCTGTTCCCAGTTGGGCTAGAACTTGTTATGTAGACCAGGCTGACTTTAATCTCAGACACTTGCCTGTCTCTGTCTCCACCATGCCTGGCTACTTTGGTCTTCGAACACACATTTATAAAAATTGGTTTCTAGTCTTTGTCCAGTAAGTTCAGTTTCTCACCCCCAGGGTGCTCTGTTCCCCTGTAGTGTACAAGTAGCTTGATACTCAACTAATGCCTGGTTTTCCTTGGTGCCTTAGCCAGAAATTTCTGTTCTTTTTCCCTCAGTGGCTCTGGCAAATTTTGATGCTGCTTTGACCTTCACTTGGTGTTTGCCTAAGACCGCTGAAAGAATATTCTCAAATGCTTCCCGGGTAGGCATACAGACCTGTACAGCTTTCTCTCCCCCAGGAAACGTTATGTTAAAGCCTTTGGGATGCTCCACACACATCTTGTCCCCAGACCTTCTTTCTTGATGTATTTATTGCCTCAATTGGCCCTGGTTTTTCTGACCAATGCTGTGGAACCAGTGCTATAGGAAGAGGGCATTCCTAACGACTGAACTCCAGGTCAAGTAATAAGCCCAACAGTAGTGGCTTTTCCAGGGAGCTGCCAGGTAGACCAGATGGTGATGGGCTCCATGCAGACAGCCCCTCTGTCTGCAGGCTGCTTCTCAAGGTACCAGAGTCAATGGGGCAGGATGGAAGGGACCACAGACCTATGTTCATCTACTCAGTTGCTGCCTTGAATGAGCATACCATGGACTTCACAAGTCTTGAGTAGTAATTTGTAGAGTTCTAGGATGGTCGATCTTCCCAGTTTTTCTGTTGCCTGTTATGAGGGAGCCGTTTTGGGAGGTACTCTGCTGTTCTCAAATCTTCCCTCATTTTCTATCGAGTTAATTTCCCTAACTTTATTTTCTCAGAGGTTTAGATCTGTAAATAAATCACTGCTTTGAATTTGAGACCCCCCACCACCCAGTCTGTGTATGTCTGTCTGTTTTGAGGGCTTTGGAAAGTAAATGGCACCAACAGGCATTTTGGTACCCTGCACTGTTTTACAATGTCTATATCATCCTGGCTTCCTGAGAAAAGAGAAACATATCGCATTAAAAAAAAAAAAAAGTTAAAAATTTGTGAACAAATTGTCCTAGCATAGCTACCTACCTCCAGAGTCGACTCCAGCTCAAGGGACTCCAGCTCAAGGGATACAACAAGTCCTGCCTTCCAAGTTCAGAGCTCCTGTGGTCTCCTTTCCCAGTTTTCAATTTCATACAAATGTAATCATAGAATACAAATTGCTATGGATGCAGGTGTATTTTGTAATCTTCACTGCTCTGTATCTAAAGATGTCAACTGGAGGCAGTTGAGACATTGCTGGTTGTCCCACTGGGTGGGAAAGGCAAGTGGAACTTCCCAGGCAGGGGCCAGGTATGCTGTCAGTCCAGTGTTCAGGTTTGCCCCCATCAGACTTGTCCACTCAGAACTTCAGCAGCACTGTGGTTGATTGAGAAATCCCGCTATGTGACAGCACCGTGCTGTGGTGGTTGGAGTACTGTGCCATGCCCTTCACAGCTACTTCTGGTTTGAGGTCTTTACTCTCCAATCCACTCTATTTGCCTTCCCTATTCCCAGTATAAGGCAGAGACCAACTCTAGGGAAGGTGGAAAGCAGCTATAGGGATTTTTTCCACCTACCTAGGGAACAGCTATATCAAGTTCCAGGTACCAACTGGACAGGGAACCCCTGGTTGGAGCCCTGCCCTTAGGTCAGCCAAGGAACCAGCTGCAGCCAGTATGGTCACCAGCCAGTTCTCCCTTAAGAACCATTTGTGCAAGAGGGAAGCTGTTCTTGGGCTTTCCATGAAAACTGGCACTATTTCCAGGTTGCAAGAGAGCCACCAATTCTTCTGTGGTTGAGATATACTCCACCTCCCCTTCTCCCATTCCTCTCTATCCAGGCCTAGATTTCCCTGAGCCAGGCCCCAGGCATATGAGGGGGATCATGTCAAAAATGCTATCCCCATGGCGAATGGGGTGGGGTGGGTCTGAACATGTATCTGCAGGAATGTCTGTGCTTCAAAGCTGGGCTTAATGTGTACAATGTTCTTAGCTCTCTGGAGGGTAGGTGTCTGGAAAGCTTGAAGCTAGCCCCTTACTTGAAGCTCAGTTGAGCAGAGCCTCTGGGGTGGCTGAAGACTGACATGGGCAGTCTTGGGCTTCAGGGACATCAGGCATACAGTGTTACTTTCAGACCAACAAGCTCACATGGATGCAGGCCTGGTTTCTCAGCCTGATAGGGTGTTTGCTAACTATGTCGATGGTAGGCCCTGGCAGGTGTACAGCAGAACTATGCAGAGTTGCAAGGGATCCTAATACATGGGGCTAAGGGGTCTGTGACTTTTGCCGGGTGTGGTGGTACACGCCTTTAATCCCAGCACTCAGGAGGCAGAGGTAGGCAGATCTCTGAGTTCAAGGCCAGAGTGATCTACATAGTGAGTTCCAAGGACAGCTGGGGCTACAGGGAGACCCTGTCTCAAAACGACCAAAAATAAAAAGGGGGTTGTGACTTTTGCCACTGTGGGCTGAAACTGACGAACTGTTAAACAAACAAAAGGGTGCAAGTAGAAAAAAGTGAAATGGCGCATCAAAGTAGTGTTTTGTGATAAAAGCTCTGTGATTTAGGGAAATAAACCTACGTATAAAGGCCAAAGACAGACAGGGGAACTTTTGCTTGCAAAGGCCAGGTCCCCCAGCTGCAGAGCAGCTGGGAAACCCGTCAAGGGTAAGATTCTTGGCTCCCTCTCCAGACCACTGGCCTTCATCAGAAGCAAACATGGTAGATCTGGGTGAAAGCCCAGGTTTTACAAGCCAGTCTGACAAGGTCTGGTGGAGCCCGGAGGGCAGCTGAGGGGCAAGCAGCTCTGGGTGCCTACACATTTTCACACACTAAAGCTGGGTGGCTGGGCTAGAGAGATGGGTCAGAGGTTAAGAACACTGGTTGTTCTTGCAGAAGACTTGGGTTCAAATCCCAGCACCCACATGGCAGCTAACAACTGTCCATAACTCCAGTCCCAGGGGATGCAACAGCCTCTTCTGACCTCCGACGGCATTGCACGACAGGGGTGCACTTATCTACATGCAGGCAATACGCTCATACACATAAAAATAATTGAAAAAGAAGCAAAAAAAAGAGGCGGGTGGAAAGGCTGGCTTCTGCTTGAGCCCCGGAGATTCAAAGTTTTCTAGAGGGTGTACAAGATGAATTATGTAGTCACAGCACAGAGTCCTGCTTACATGCTGTCTCCAGGAAGCCCAAGTACGGTATTAACTTACACCTTGATACACTTGACTTTTTAGGTAGAGTAACTTGTCAGTTATATACTGGGCCCTCCTGGGAGGGATCTTGCCACCTGAAGGGACGGTGTATGTACAAAGAACATTTTAATTAATTTATTTATTTCTTTACACATAACTGAAAGTGATGTTACAGTACATAAGTTATTTACAACTGTGCAGTAATGTGTTGCAAAATAAATTATCTAGAAGGCAGCAAAAGTACATTGTGAATGTATATAAAACTGTACAGGTTTGCGGATACACTCTATAGGATTATTGGCTCTGTAGTGTTTCAAGTTAACGTTCTCAGAAAGAGAAACAAAATGCCCAAGATTAAAGGAAAAATATACAAACCACGTGGATTTGACTCCATTAAAAACACTATTGGAGAGTCCTGGCTGCGTCCCTCTGTGTCCAGGCAGGTGGCAGCCAGACCCTTGCTGGCACCAGCATCCCAGTGTCCAAGCCTGTCCCGAGGACCATGGCGGGACAGCACTTTCTTGCCCTCTGACTTGGAGGTCACTGCTTATGCGAGGTGGACGCCTTAGTTTATTTTCCTTTAGTTGATCAAAACGGAACGAGGAATTTAAAAACACTCTGTTCTGCGACTCCTAAAGTGCCCTGTCGCTGGCTGGAAGAAAATCCAGAGGGCACTGCTGAGACCGAGCCTCCATGTCTGTTGCCGCGGTCTCCTCATCCCAAGTCTGGCAGGGCTCTGCAGTGTGTGGGCCTCGTGCTTCCTGCAGCAGCTGGTAAAAACAGATGCATTCCGTCTCACTGGCAACTAGGAGGAGACACGTGGCCAGGCTCAGTCTCTGGGCTCCTCCTACCCGATGGACGCGGTGCTCCCTCCTCCGCCGCCGGGACTCATCGGCAGCACTGGGCGACTTATGTGGCCCTTGTTTGTGTCCTGTGGCCTTCCCACGAGTGTCACGCTGGCAATAGTACGAAGTCATCATTGACATCCACCATGGGCACGTAGAAGGATGGCACCTCGTTGACACACAAGGACTTGTGCCCAGCAGGGTCCAGCTCCTGGGCCTTCAGCTGCCACTCCATCCTTTGCACAGCATTGAGGGCTGCGGCCTCATGCTGCTGCCGCATCAGCAGGCATGTCTGTGGAACACACAGGGTGAGGGGAATGACCAGGACTCTGGGTTACATCACTGTCCCCAGGCTCCAGCACTGGACTGATGCAAACCCACTGTGGCTCGAAGCATAGAGCCTGGATGTGATGCCCTATCATCCACCCCACCCCCACCCCCAGTGAGGCCCAGATGAGCTGTGGGAGGACAGGGATAGAAAACTGTGTCAGGCAGATGGCATCCCCCCATTCTGCACATCTGACTATAATAATCTGGCCATACGGGAGGCCTGACCCTTTACTGCTTTATACTCCATCCTAGGATTTCTACCAGAAGCTGCGGGCACAGCCTTCAACTCAACTCCAACAGATGCATCATCTTACCAGCTTTGCTTTTACTGTTTTCCCTTTTTAATTATTTTGTAATGTAGTTTGTGTTCACAGTAGAAATTCCATTTAAAACTGTGCATAAGGGGCTTGGATATAGTGGGACACATTTTGGGACCAAATGAGATATTTTAAACATGGCTCAGATGGTCCACCTGTGCTCAAAGTTGATGTTGAAGTTTAACCCTGTTACATGGCCAAGTCTGAGTTACTGAGGGACAGCCTCAGGGGGTCCAGTTGACTAGACTGTCCCAATCAACATTTTATCCACATTCTTGACTTTTAAGTGGCTAATGTGAAATTGCTAGGTTACGCGCAAAACTAAGGAAATTCAGTATTGTTAGGTCACTCAATGAAAATCTACCAGCCAACTGGCAGGTAGACAGCCAATTTCTGCCAACCTGACCTTTCACAATCTTCTGAATGGAACCTTATTCACCTTTTGGTTCTAAAATTAATGATTACATCTGAACATCTTTTCACTAAGACTTGGCCATTTTATCTCCTTCCTAGACTGCCTCTTCATAATTTTTAAAATATTTTTTGCCTTGTTATCAAAGAGTTCTTTTTGCATTATGGAACGAAAATGTAGCACTTTTAATGTACACGGACAAACTTTAATGTGTTGGTCAAAGGACCATTCCTTCCCTCACAGTCACCTTTGGTTGTTCTAGCCAACACTGTGCATAGCTTTGCTTTGGGACAAAGTGCCTGGTGACCCAGAGGTGACTCTAGGATGAAGTGGAAGATACAGGAGCAAAAGTTCATGGAATACGGACTCCTCCTCAGCCCTTAGCCTTCAGGTCCAAGCCCTGGAAACACTCTGTGGCTGATGTGCCACAAGGGTGTCTCATTCTCCTAAGGTCCTTCTAGCCTCCCAGCACCTGAGTGAACTGTTGTAACATGCTAACTGTTCATCACTCAGCCAATTCTGACATCTTATTATCCACAACAAATAATGGCAGGAATCAGGGGACTGTGGGCTGTTCTTTTTCTGAGTGTGAAGAGCAGCAGGTATGGGAAAACTATAAAGGGAAGGTACCAACTTCTGTTTTCTCATTTTGTAATTGACATGCTGGGTCTCATGGTATCCTATGTGTGACTCTAGAAGCTGCAGGTGAGGATTTGCTTCCTCCTTGCTGATCTACCTCTTACTCCTCCTCTCATCTACTGGGAAGGACTTCAAGCATGGAAGATGTGCTGTGACCTCTTAGAAGGGCTCAGGTTGGGTCCTGCCAGTTGGTGCTAGGATGCTTCCTACACCTGGACAGAAAGGAAGACACCGAGGAAACAACAGATCTAAGACTTTGATTCTTGAAAGCAGCAACAAGCTGGGTGCATTAAAAAAAAATCACTTTGGATAGTGCTTGGGCAGCAGTGCTGCCTCCCTGGTGGGAGGAGCCTGGCGCTGGAGGCACTCACCTTCATGCGGTCATACTTGTCATCTACATCCTGCAGCCAAGAGATGAACTGGCGGGCATTGAAGCGATCCCGCACCGACTTGTTTTCATCACCCTGTAGAAATCAAACATAGCTACTGACAGAGGAGCTTGGAGATTATGAGAGGGTTAACCCTTCGATGGCACAGTCCTTTCTCCAATAGAGAAGACCACGGTGATCTCACTCCAGCAGTACATGGTTCAACTCTGTTCAAGGGCAAATGTCCTGATTACCTCCTCTTGCCACTGAGGGTTTTCTAAAATGCCCCAGACAGAAGTAATCCTAGGCACTAGTAGCCACAGGTTCAGTCTTAGATCCACTGAGGGACTTGGGCTTATGGGTGGTTGGGAGGCCCTGGCACCGACCCAGGATCTACAGGAGAATGGGCAACCAATGTTAGATAGGGCTGCACTGGGTAGGGCTTTCTGAGTGGAGGCCAGCTCCTTGTGCAGGCACCTAGCATACCAGAACAGAGAAAGGCCTGATAGCCTGTGGTGTCTATTCCATTAGTTTAAGATGATAGGTTTACACAAAGCTGGAAAATGATATAATTTATTCCTTTTCAGAAACTAAGTAATTTTTCTTCTTTGAAAAGGACATTTGAGGGGTTAAAGAAATGGCTCACTGGCTGCTCTTGCAGAGGACTCGGGATCGGTTACCAGTGTCCACATTGTAGCTGACAACAGTCTATAACTCCAGTTCTGGGGATCCAAGACCCACTTCTACCCTGTGAGCACCACATACATATGGTGCACTTACATACAGGCAAAACACAAACTAAAAAATAAAAATTAAAAAGAAGGGGGGCAGGGGAAGAAGAGGACAGTTTGAAAGCCTGAGGTGGGAACTGAAGGTCCTCTGGGGCCTGGAATCAGTTTCCTTATTGGCTTCTACTCTGCATGGAGTAGAACTTCAAGTCAACCCCTCACTTCATCAGTATGACCTTAGATACATTGTGACAGACTAGTTGGAAAATAAGAACCAAGTTTTGGGCTGGAGAGAGCTCAGTGCTTAAAAAAACAAGTTTCATGCAGCCTCATAAAGGAGGGAGCCGGAATGGCCTTAGTAAAGCAGACTCTGCTCTGAACTGGTTGGCTGATATCCTTGGATACCACAGAGCAGGGTGATCAAAGGGGTCTGAAACAGCTGACTTAACAGCCTCCTGTGGTCAAATGCCAGCAAACAGCCAACATGCCTACAGTAAGAAGACTCAGGCAGAGACCTTCCTTTTTTTCAGTCTTCCAAAAGTTAGCCAGGAAAGTGCCTGAGAAGTACCAGGAACAACACACAGACAGACAGATGCGCACACACTTTAAGACAGGGTCTCACTGTGTAACACTGGCAGGTCTCAAAGAGATCTGCCTGCCTCTGCCTCCTAAATGCTGGCTTATATTTTTTATTTTATGTGTATGAGTGTTATGCATGTGTGTAAGGGCACCCGTGTTGTGAAGTGTCCACGGAGGACAGAAGAGGGCGTCAGATCCCCAGGAATGGGAGTCAGATGGTTGTTAGCGGCCATGTGGGTGCTGGGATTCAAACCTGGGTCTTTTTCAAGAACAGCCAGTGCATTTAACTGCTAAGCCAGCTCTCTAGCCCCTAGCTTATATTTTTGATGCAAAAGCAAAGCTTGCAAATACTCAATCCCTAAAGTTAAGTATCTAGTCCAAAACTAAATATGTTTGCAGCTGGCTGAAAATGCAGCAAAAACATGCTGTGTATGGGCATAGTGGCACACACCAGTAACCCCAGTACTTGAGAACTAGAGGAAGGAGGACCAGAAGTTCAGGGCCAGCCTGGGCTACATATTTTCTTTCTCTTAAAAAAAAAAAGAAAAAGAAAAAGAAAAAGGAACTCCAGTTATTACACATGTGTAACAACGAGTTATTTTCCCCAGAGTGGAAGATTTTTAATACATTGAAAAAGTTTTAAACTCAAACCCACTGATTATACTGTACATAGCAAGGGAGCCCCTAGCACACCTATTGTGAGAGGACATGTTAACAAGGTCTCAACAGCCAGGACAGAATAGGTTCCAGGCAGCTGCATGTTGAGCAGGGATATAGCCCAGGAATAAGTCTAACTGATGTGGGACTGTCCACAGAGAACAGTGTGTACAGAATATGGTGGGGGCGGGTACATAGCCTTAAATAAGCACAGCCTGGCAGAGTGGGCCCAGGGCAGTATCTACAGGAGACTCAGGCTCTGAGATGGGAAACAGGAAGAATGGACAGAGGAGAAAGCCAGAGAGACCTGGTACCTGCGGGATCTGAGCGACAAATGAAGAATGTCAAAAGATACCAGAGAACCAGTGAGATGGATCAGCAGGTAAAGGCGCTTGCTGCCAAGCCCCATCACCTGAGTTCAATCCCTAAGACCCAGAGTCCTGTCTTCCAAAAGTTGTTCTTTGGCCTCCAACATGTGCCTGCATAAAGCACGTGCACATACACATACACACACACGCACATACATGTACATACACACGCACACACACATGCTAAATGTAATAAAAAATAGAAAAGATCCTAGAAGTGTGCCCCAAATTAGGAGTTCGTGGCTAAGCTCGGCATCTGCCACCCTACCGCCTCCATCATGTTCTGCACTGGGCTGTGTTACGTGTTAGGTCAGGGTGAAAATGTAGTTAAAGCAGGGAGTTTTGCTCTGGCAGGTGGTGTAGACAGACTTCAGGCTAAGTGCTCTAGGCCCCGAGACTCCAACTGTCCCAGATCTAACAAACTTTCATGCGCACTGAAGCTAAGAAGCCTTGCTAGTCAGCCCCAGCCTTACAAGGGGATGTGAGCTCCTGGCCTATGGCCCCAAGTCTTTCTATGCAATCATCATTGGTCTAGGGCCACCACTATGGCAACTCTGGCCACCCCTCAGCTGCAGATGGGGCTTCAAATATAAACAGAGACTGACATCATCTCTACAGCCTGTGAGAGGGAAGAGGGTGCAACTCACCCTACCTGTGGGGACAAATACCTCAGAGGAATGTAGAAACTCTGTAAAGACTAAAACATATTGAGGTACAGCCTGCAGGTTTGAGGGCCTTGTCCGTGCACCATGCACCTACTCCTGCCTCCTGAGGCAACCTAGGGCTGGAGGAAGATTAGTAAACTTGGGGCCCTACAACATATCACAAACAGGGAAGCTCTGGTCCAGATGCAGGACAGAGGCCTTCGGTATGTGGAATGTGGCTGTTTTCTGATATCTGCTAGTGTGTAAGGTTCCTATGGGATCCTGGGGGAAACTGAAAGCTGGCACCTCCACTCAAGAATACCACTGACCTGGCTTTCCAAAGGCATGTTGTAGACCTCAGAGTCCAGCAGCATTGTACATGCACTGAAGGGTACTGCCTGATTGGCAATGGTCCTGGCTGCCCGGCAGTGGACCCGCAAGATCTCCTGCTCGCAGGACACAATCAGCTTTTCCTGAGGAAGGAGAGGACCAGGTGAGCTCAGGATTGCTGCCACCAGGCCCCTTATCCAGGGCTCCACTTACCCTCTCGATGCTGTGCTGCAGACGCAGCTTACCCCGAACAGCCTCCTGCTGCTTGAACAGCTCCTTCAGGGGCTCTGCCAGGGAGGGAGGGGGTGCAATCTGCAGATGCAAGGGGAGAGGTGTTCAGCAGGGCCACACCAAGAACACATTTAAAATTTGTATAGGATCTAGCCCAGCTCCCACCCAGAAACCTCCTAAGATGCACCAGATACTAACCTGGAAAGAAGACCGGAGACCTGCATGTGAACTCTGCTTAACAAATATAGTGACAGAAAAGGCAGGGCACAGGGCACGTGGAGACTGGCTTTTTGTGCAAGGAAGGACAGACAGGTGTGCCTATCTGTGCCAAAGCAGCACTGTGAGAAAGTGAGAGTTGCAAGAGTGAGCAGGGAACCCAGCAGAGTGCAGTCAAGGTGCATATAGATTCCTGAAGCCAAGCCTAGCTGTATGCCAAGGGGGGTGTGCAACCATACTAAGGGAGTAGGTAGAACCCACTGCCATATCTACATTCTAAGCACTGGAAGTGTTTCATGGGGTGAGCAAGTGAGTAAATACATCAAAGATCTTAACGAGGAACAGGCCTTCCATTCCTAGAGAAAAAAAGACAGGAAGGAACAGGAGAGGCCAGATTTCTACAGTGCTGAGTAAAGAAGTAGGTGAGTGAGTGTGGAGTCAGACTTCCAAAGCAGGCAGAGGCAGGCATGGTGCACGTAGGACCTGAGCAGAGACACTCTGTGCCACTGTTCACTGAAGGAGGAACACAAAGTAGTGGCAGGACTGGGCTAGGGCCCCAAAACACGATACAGTGGGCCTGAGAGGTGAAAGTTCAGAAGACAAGGGGTATGTGGCAGCACAGGACTCAGGGCTCAGGGCTCAGCAAGTCTCTGCACTACAAAGCAAACTCTAGTGAAGTTAACAACAACCTCAGGCCATGGGGCACCACTTCCCAACAGTAGAACTCCAGTCATTAGAGGTGGTAAAGGAACAAAAAAAGCCCTGGCACCAGAGAAAGCTAGACTACTGTAGCCAAGGCACAGCTGAGAGGGTTTGCGAAGTCTCAAGAGTCTTCTCCCCAAGATACAGGGCAAAGTACAATTTGGGGGGCAGGGGGAGACTCCGAATAGGGAGGCCTGGTTAGCAGCCTTGACCTCATGCACTACAGGCCAGTCCCCAGTGATCAGGTATATGACACCAAGAATTCCAAGACTCATGTTCTCACAGTGGGGATCTGAAAGGCAAATGACCAGCATGCCTTGTGAACACCCTTAAGAAGGGTGGGGTAATGACTTGTTAAACACCCTCACACATGAACAAGCCTGCCACCGGCCACGAGGGCTTCTATACACTCTGTGCTTCTGTGATGTTTGAACTTTTTGTTAAAAACCAAAAATTACTGGCTGGCAAGATAAGATGGCTCAGTGGGTAAAGGTACTTGTTACCAGGCCTGATGACTTCAATCCCTGGGACTTAAATGGTATTTTCTGACCTCCACTGTGTATGCTATGGCATGTGCACAAACATGCACCCACACACTTAACAAAATGGGGGGAAATCCTAAAATTTTAGCTGAATCTGTCTGCATACTTTACTCATCATGCCCTTCAATAGGCCTAGTCTCTTGTATGAGGTTTCCAAAAGAGCAAGGAGACTACAGATCTTCAAGCTGGACCAGGCAAGAAGGTTGGCATAGGGACGAGTATTCCTATAGCTCTACCCATCAGATCAAGTGCAGAATGTAGAGCCACTGCTGTGAGAGGAGGCTATGTGCCCCTGTGGGTTTTAGTCTAGTGAGGAAGCCCAGAGTGGGGTATACCAGGACACCTTGGAGATAGCCTCAGCCCTGCCTGTTTTGCCAAAGGGTATACGGGATGCTAAGAAAGACAAGTGGGGAGGCATGTAGAACACCCACGGGGCTATCTGCAGGGTAGGGTTATGCTCCCCCCACTTCTTTCATCTAAGTTCTAAAATTTTTTTTTTTTTTTTTTGGTCTTTTTGAGACAGGGTCTCTCAGTAGCCCTAGCTGTCCTGGAACTCACTATGTAGACCAGGCTGGCCTTGAACTCACAGAGATCTGTCTGCCTCTGCCTCCGGAGTGCTGGGATTAAAGGTGTGCACCACCACGCCTGGCTAAATCCTAAATTTTGTGCAGAAGTTACCTCACTTTGCTTCAATAATCAAAACAAAGAGAAACAACAGAAAATACAAGTGTTACTAAATAAAAGTCTTACACCAGATTCTCTTGAATGTAGTGGTGCATACTTGTGGTGCCTGAGTCTGGTTAGGATGCCTCACCAGGACCTCCTGCTGAGTTCAAGTCGACTGTACTAATTTACTCCCCAATTCCTCCACGGTGAGCCCCATCCTCATCTTCACTTGGAAGGGTTTCTAAATGGGTACACTTCCTGCCTAGGTAGAGGCCAGCATGCCCCTTTCCTTAGGATTAGAAACTCTTCCCAAGCCTTGTGCTCATCCTGATCAGCCGACTTGGGCAGCAGAATACAGTCTGCCCAGGCTGGGGAACAGCAAACGGTGACCTGGTTGGCTGCATAATCCAGCTGTGCAAAGAGAGCTGCTTTTGGGGAGGTGGTAAAGGGCCCCTTTTGACTCTAGTGATGAGGAAGACCCTAAAGGTAGAGGAGCAGCAACCTATCGGGAAGGACCTTCCTGGTAACACATGCTGCTGGTATACACATGGTGAAAGGCTTTGAGAAAGGTGGCCAGTTCTGAGGTGCTGAGGAAGCAGCTCTAAAAGGCTTGTGTGCGTGGCCAAGAATGGTATGCTACAGGAGGACCCTGAAGAACATATGGGAACGAGGCAGAGTCAGGAAAAAGGTGTGCCCATCAGGCTGAACAGTCACCACTGATGTCCTAGAACTCCAATAAGGAATGAAGGGAGGGGCTTTAGGGCTCCAGTGAGATCCAAAAAGGGGGGGGGGGCGCGATGTGGGTGGAGCTGGAGAGAAACAAGCCAACAAGCCAGCTGAGGCTTTTCATTATGACGGGGTAGGGGTGGAGGGGTGCAAAGGAGACAGTAGCAGGAAGGGGAGCAGCTCAGGAGGAAGGGACTTCAGGGAGAGTGCTGGGACCAGATCAGCAGGGCTGCACAGCTGGAGTTAAAGCTGGGTGTGTAGGGCCGCACAACTGGTGAGGCGGGGACACCAACCCTCACAAATGATGACTGTCAAGAGTGCCAGTATAGCTCCTGACCACAAAGGTGCCAACACAGCCTCCGGGGTCCATTTATTGGTACTGTTGCACTACTGTCTGTTACTCATGCACACAGACCCTGAGGCACTCACCACAGGGATGTGGAGCTTGCTGAGTGGCTTGCCATCCAAGAGGTAGGACCCCGTGTAGGTGACATACTCAGCATAGCACTGGGGTGCCTGCGGAGTGATGCAGCAGAGGATCTTGCGTTTCTCTTCAATCTTCTTTCTGATCTGAAGGTACTCAAAGTATGGGTTGGACCTGTCACTGTGGTAGGGTTCAATGGCATCCAGCTTGATAGCGTCCACAATAGCCGCCAGAGTCTGCTGGATGACCTCCCGTGTCTGCTGCGTGGATGTGTTCAGCTGCTGTTGTAGCTGCTGGCTAGTACGCTGGAAGCGGCGCTTGCGGGGGTGTTGAGCCTGGGCGTCCTCCTCCTCAGAAGCACGGCCCTTGGCTCTGGAAGCTGGGGCAGGCACTGGGTCCTTCTCTGCAGGGGGTGTGCTCTGTTTGTTCTGGCTTGCCAGCATCTGGGCCCGGTTTCTGGTCATGCGCTGAGGAACCTCTTCTACCTTGGGGGCCTTGGGAGCTTCAGCAGTGGGTTTGGGTTCTGGGTCTGCAGCTTCTGACTGGACACTGCCTGGGGGTCCTTCTGACGGGGTGGCAGCACGGGTGGTCTCTGCACTGTTGTGTGCCTGTGTCAAGTCATCTGCGGAGGGGCCATCAGGTGCATAGGAGGGAGCAGCAGAGGGGTCCTCAGCTTCAGTCTCCTCACTGCCACCTCCCAGGATATGCTGTTCAGGACTGGGTACAGGCACCAAATTGGAATCTGAGTCCTCAGGGGCCCTCTCACCTGTCAGGGTCTCTGCTTCCACTGTGGCTTCTAGAACTATATCTAGCTTTGGCTCTTCTGAGGGCTCAGGCTCGGTGGAGAGCTGGGGTAATGCTTCCTCTGGAGGCAGTGCTGGCTGTTCCTCGGCTGCTGATGCAGAGACATCCCCACTGCTGAGGGCACCAGGAGGCCCTGGAGGGCTCTCTCCTGGTGGAGCAGGACTGCCCACCACAGCTTCTGCCTCAACATCTGAAGCATCTTTGGCCTGGAGAGGGAGCTCTGGCAGTGAGAAAGGCCCCAGGTCCAGGTCATCCTCAGGACTGGTGAAGGATTCATGCCAGGGCACTGGTTCAACCTGGCCTAGGGCAGACAGGTTATGATTACTGTCTAGGAAGCTGCTTTCCAGAGGCCCCAGAGCCTCTACCTGAGCCACAGTGGTGACACAGGTGGGCTCCGGGGCTGTGTCCAGGGGTGTATCTGGAAGTGACTTGCAGTTGCTGAAGAAGGACTCCAGCCTGGTGGGAGCAGCGTAAGGAGCAGTAGCTTCTGCAGCAGAGATAGCTGCTGGGATTGCTCCTGCCCCACCATCTTTGACTTCCTCCAGGCCTGGCTCAGGGGCTGGCAAAGGGTAGGAGACTGGAGAGACAGGGTATGGGGGCTCTGGGGCACTGAAAGGCCCTGGGGCAGTGGCATGGAGGGGCTCTGCAGGGCAGAAATGTTTTGGGGATTCTGTGAACCTCTGTGGAGACTTTAGCAGAAGCTCAGGGCCCACAGGCCAACTGACAGGGTTTTCAGAGGCACTGGCAATAAGGGTAGAGGAAAGAGTCTGCTCAGTAGCAGGGTGTGTCCACTCAACAGGTTCCTCAGTGATGACTGTGCTGAAGGGGCCCTCATCCAGGGGCTCCAGGTAGTTGGGCTCTGGGGGGAGGATGGCAGCTGTGGCCTGCTGGTCCTCTGTGGCATCTAGAGGGAGGCCTAGGTCTGGGGGCAGGGCCCCTTCAACAGTTGGAGTTAGCAGCTCACCTCTAGGGGAAGGGGAAGACTTTGCTGGTAGGTTGGAAAAGATGCTGTCTGGGGGTGGTGTGGCACTGACCACAGCTGATGGTGGGCAGTGCAGAGTGTCTACTTTAGGCGAGGGGATGCCATAGTCCGGGGAGTAGTACCCAGGGGACAGGCAGGCAAACTTCTCTGCTGGAACTGGTGGCAGAGGAGCCTTGTCTTCCAGCAGGTGCTGCACTGGGGAGTCAAAACTAGAGGCTGCAGGGACACTCTGCTGCCTAAACAGCTTGTCTCCAACACTGAATTCCTCTTCAGGTGTCCTCCTGATATCCACAGAAATTGAACGATACAGGTTTGTAGAGACAGGCCTTGTGGGTGTCTGGCCTGGGTTTTCTGAAACTACACTGGAGGCCACAGAGAACCTATCAAAAAAGGGTGGGGAGCACGCGCTGGTGGATGTGGTAGAGACAGGCATTGAATGTTGGGAGTCAGTGCAGTCAAACACCAGGTCGGGGTAATCGTCAGCACTGCAGGACGGGGTCCTAGGTGTGTGCATCACCTCCTCATAGCTGGGGCATGACATCACTGAGGTGGGGGTGGGCACCCCCGTGGGCCGGGCCTGCTCAGTCCGGGGTGAGGCAGGTAGGACCTCCTTCAGGGGTGGCCCAGCTAGCCAGTCTTTGGACTCTGTCCCTGGTCCCGAGTGTGGCTTGCTTTCAGTGGTGGGCAGCATGGGCGCTGACTCCTTGAGTTTTTTGTCTTTAAAAGGAGGGTCTAGCCCCAGAGCTTTCTTGGAAGGAAGGTCCAGGCTCTTCTTGCGCCCATCATCAGCAGGCTTCTTCTCCTTGAGCTTCGGGTCTCCAGACCTATGACGCATCTTCTCCATCTGCTTCATGCGTTCCTTGTGTCGCTTGTGCCGCTCCTCAATCTCCAGGTCCTTCTGGGACAACATCCTCTCAAAGCTTGTCATCATGAGATCACCATCTCCCAGGAGCTTCTCTCGGGGCCTCGTGTCTTTCCTGGTGTCTCTGGGGGGTGGGAGCTTGTCATTCCCGTTGCTCATCCTCACTGGATCACCCTTTTCTCGCTCTGTGCTCTCCTTGAATTTTTCCTTCAGCTTGGTCTCACTGAGCTTCAGGCTTTCATCCCTGGATTTCTCCTTGAAGGAGTTGGGAGGGTTGTCCTTGTCTCTGGCTGCAGGCTTTGGGTCATCCTTGTGGTGTCTCAGGAAGCCATCCGCATGCTTGTCCCTGTGCTTCTCCTTCTCCTCTCTCCACTTCTCCCTGTGCTTCTCTCTTTTCTTCTTCTCTTTTAGAATGCTGATGGTACTGGATCCATATGGCTTTAGTTCCTTTTCTATTTTCTTGCTAGGTTCTCTTTCAGAATCATTTCTGTCCTTCTTTTCTGTAGAAAACAATTCAATGGTTTTATCTAGCTCCTCTTCAATATCGGCTTTTGTGGTGAAACTGACACCGTAAGCTTCGGGATCCAAGAAGTCCTTTTCATACTGGCTGGAGTCCTTTCTACAGCTTCCGTCCTTGTGGTCTTCACTCTTCTCTTTTCTCTCGGTCTTTTCCTTTTTGGATCTCTCACGCTCATGGCTCTTCTTAGAGGACGATGAGGGGTGCCTGTGCCTCTCTTTTTCCTTCAGTTTCTCAGAGAGGCAGGTGCTCTCCCTGGCCTTGTCCTCTGCTGGGGGCTCAGAGAAGGACACCTCCAGGAGAGCGCTCAGGCTGGGCTCCTGGCCACGGTCAGCAAAGCTGTCAGAGGAGACCTCGCTGATCTTGTCATTGGAGTCTTCACGGTAATCATGCAGAGCTTCTTCCTCCAGCTTCTCCAGCAGGCTCTTCTCCACTTCTGGGCCCCGTGAGGCCTTTCTCTCTCGGGAGTGCTCCTTCTCCGCTTTCTCCTTGTGTTTACTCTTGGCCTTGTCTTCAGCAGAGTGCTTCTTCTCCAGCTTCTCAGGGATCTTCTGTTTGCTTTTCTTTTCTTGGGCAGAGTCGACCGAAGCTCTATCTTTCCTGTCCTTATATTTCTCCAGACACTCTTTATCTTTCTTTTCTTTGTGCTTTTCAAAGATCTTTTCCTTCTTGTCCTTGCCCCCATCAGTAGCTCCTCTGTCCTTCTTCTTTTCCTTGGGCTCTTTGTCTCTTGGCTTCTCTGCATGCTGCCTGTCAGAAGAGGACTTCCTGTGCCTGTCTGAGGGATGCGGCTCTCTCCCATCTTCCTTCTCCTGGAGGCTGTCTACTCTCTGTGTATCACTGGTCTCTCCAACCTTGAAGCTGCTGGTCACGTAATTGTCTTTCTCATCTTCACTTTCATCAGTGAAAATGTCTGCAATGTACCAGCTCTTCTCCTTCCCCTTCTTGTCATCTTTTTTCTCAGAGAAGTCTTCTGAGATGATGCCAGGGAACATCTTCTCCTTCTTCTCCCTCATTTGGTCGAGGGAGGCCTTTCTGTCTTTGTTGTGCGCGTCTTTATGCTTCTCCTTGCTATCTTTCTTTTCCTTAAAACATTTTTCAAAGTCTTTGTCTTTCGGACACTTCTCCAGGATAGACTTCTCGCTTCTGTCTCTCTCACTGGACCTGTCTTTGTACTTCTCCGCCCTCCCCTTCTCCTTCCTCTCCTTTTCCAGGCCGTCCTTTTTCTCTTTCTCACGTGCTGCATGGGGCCGTTCCCAGGGCTCCAGGCTCTTGGTGAAGTCACAGTCTGGCTTGTCCTTGAAGGTGTTCTCGCAGCCACACTCCTTCAGGTCCTCCCTGTGTGTCTCCTCAGGCCGCATACGTCCATCTCTCCGCTCCCGGGAGCCCTCCAGGGTATCCCTCCTGTCCCGGCTGGCTTCAGCAGACTCTCTCCTCTTCTTGTCTTTCTCGGAGAGATAGCTGGGGATGCTTTTATGCTTTTCTGTTTGGTCTCTCCTCTTCTCGGAGTTTTTATCCAGATAGTCCCTGTCTCTCTTTCGGAAGAAAGAGTCCCTGAAGTCTCGCTTTTCCCGGGTTTTGCTGTCGCGCTTCTTCTCCTTACTGTCTTCTTTCACCGTTTCCAGGATGAGTTTGGCCACTGAGTCACTCTTGAGGTCCCTGTAGTCTGTCACTGGAGAGTCCCAGCTATCCTCCCCTTTGAAATCAAAAGAGGAATCAGACAGGTCAGAAAACCACCTGTCCTGCTGGTCATCAGAAAGGCTGAACTTGGTGTCCTCATGCTCCAGGAACTGGCTTTTGTTACAATATTCATCAAAAGTGGCATCTTCCCTGTAAATCTTTTCCTTTCTGAGTTTGTCTTTGTCCTCTTTGAAGGCTTTCTCCTTCTCCTTGGAAACCCTGTCCTCTTTCACGTCGTTCTTCTTCTCCAGCTTGGAGGGCCGGTCTTTGGACTTTTTCTTCCTCTCTTCCTTGTACAGTCTCAGTTTTTCCTCCTTGGGAGACTTTTCCTTTGTAGATTTCTCCCTTTCTGCTTTACTGGGACGGTCTTTTTCTTCCCGGAAAGCCCTGTTGATGTCTTTGTTCATGTCCTTGATTCTCTTTAGTGCCTTCTCGTCCTTAAAGATCCATTCTTTATCTTCTGACTTCATCTTGCCAAGTTTATCTTCTTTCTTAAAATGGTCTCTGTCATGTTTCAACACTTTCAACTTATTTTCAGTGGAAATGTCGTTATCTAGGAGGATGGCCTTATCTGACTTTTGCTTGGAGTCCTCATATTCATATGTAAAGCTCTTCAATTTAAGTTCCTGGCTGACTGAACACTGTCCTTTCTCCTTGTTTTTGTGTTTGTGTTTTGTCTTATGCTTTTTGACCACTTTCCCCTCTTTGTCCAGCTTGGGGACAGCTCCATCCGTGCAGGGATGGAAGGTGCCTCTCTTCTCAGACGGGACACTCTGCAGGCTACTCCTCTTGCGGTGCTCCTGCTTCCTCCTTGCAGGCTTCAGAGATTCCACACTGGAGCCTTCAGAGGAGCAGTCAGACTCACTGGTTAGTCCCGTCCTTGAGGAGTCTGACAAAGAGCTGACCTCAGACCAGGCTGGGGAAGAAATGGCTTTCCAGTTGTCAGTGCGCCAATGCTTAGTGTGCTGGTCCGTGTGGCCAGAATTATGCTTCTGGGCTGCAGCACTGCCATGAGACGAGGTGGAGGAGGCAGACAGTGAGCTGAACAGGGAAGGGTCCTTCAGCACCAGCGGGGACCCCTTGAGGCAGCTTGAGCTCCCCACAGAGTCCCCGTCATCCTCATCGCTCTCTGAGGACTCGCTCTCCGACCCGGAGGAGCAGAATTTGTCGTTCCTCTTTCCAAATCGGACTTCTTTGCCTTTTGTTTCTTTCTTTCGCTTCTTTTTCACTTTACTTTTTTCTTTCTGCTGCCTAGAACTCGAAGACTCTCTGGCCTTACTACTGGGCAGCATTGTGTGTGCAGAGAGCCTGAGCTTCTCTCCAGCCCCCATTGCGACACTCACGTCTTCTTCATCTGACGTGTCTGACAAGATGCGATGGGCTGCCTTCTTTGGTGCAAGCGTGTTATTCTTCGTGTAACTCTTAACTTCCATTTTGGGTATTGAAATGAAACTGTTTGACTTGGTTTCTTTCCTATAGTCCTTCTTCAGCAAGTGCTTGTCATCTACCGGAGGAACCCTGTCTTGCTCATCATCCTCGTCAAACTCATACTCGTCCTTGACAGGGGTCACAGTTTTCTGTGGCTCTGGATTCTTAGCCTTAAGCTTCAGGCCTTTCTCAAACTCAGAGTCCGTGTTATTGCCATCAACCGAACTGGAAGGTGCAAATGATGGGGCGTCCTCTTCCTCGGAGCTCTCTGTTGGGAACAGGAAGGGAGATGTCAGGCAGGTCAGAATCACTCTCCTAGCATCGGCCAAGGACGCTCTGCAGCTGTGGTGAGGAAAGGCCTCCCTGAATGCATGGCCACCCAGGAGGGGAGGCTGGTTGGCCCTGCTTCTGGAGAAGCACTTCACTTTAGTCACATCTGAAGCCAACCACAGGCAGAAGGCACCCACAAGGCTTTGTGAGAGACAGGGCTGGCATCTCAGCAGACAGAATGCAGGCATCTTGGCAGTGAGGCACCCAGGCAGGACTCCTGTATCTGGAAGTTCCTGAAGGCGCCAGCCACCCGAGGAGGCTTGGAGACCCTGCGTGGAAATCTGCAGGGGAATACCATGTGTAGACACTGCAGGGCAGTATGGAGCCCCCATCAGGCAGTGCAGAGCCCCGCCCGCCCACTCATAGTCTGCTGGCCTGGCTTACCAGTGGAGCTCTCCTCACTGGAAGTGTATGTGCCTTTGCCTAACAGGAGATTCACCATCGTTGGGGAATTGGCTACTTTCAACGGTGTCTCGCCTTTCCTGTTGCTTTGCTGGGGGTTTCCTCCATATCGTAACAACAACTTCACCACCTACAAAACATTAATAATGGTATTAGCAGACTGACTGAAAAACACACCTACTCTTGTCATGCCTGTAGAAAACTACAGCTCATTCTAAACCCTCGTGTGGGGTGCTGCGTGCATAGTCTCTGTGGAAAGGTCTCTAGGTGCCTAGCAAGGGTGTCCTCTTCTGTGAGAGACCGTTCAGGGCTCCCCTCCAGAAGAACTTCACTTGCTCCATGTTTTCTCCATCTGTTGTTCTTGATGTGCTGTCTCTTCCCCCGAAATCTTCTCCCAGAAGCTCCCTTCCCAACAGGAGAGCTGGTCAGCAGTACAGGTTCCAAGAGTGGGTATATGGGGATAGTATAGGGGAAGTTTTCTTTGGGGGTTGGGGTGCAGAGAATAGAGGAAACAAAGACCAAGTTTCTGTAAGCTGGTTTATTTATTTTCATTTACATGAGAAAATAAGAGAACCCCTTCCTTGCTTGATTTTACATGCGTAAGAATGATTACACGGGTGACAGAAACATTCAAGGCGACATTTCAATAGCTCTGTTGTTTATAATCAGCACAGTTTCATATGCCTGAGACCGTAACTCACTGAACTCCAGTGTAAAAACATTCAGTCTATCCTCAGCTTCAGTTCAGGCTTTGGTAATACAGATTTTTTGTCATTTACAATCTGTTTCCACTTAAAAGCTTATGCTTTGCATTGGGTCATCAGCATGAAATTTTTATGCATATGACTTTTCTACTGCTGCTATGACAAATTGCCACAACTTATCTTACAATCTGGAGAAGTCTTACTTGCTTGGCTTACATCAAGGTGCTGGCAAAGCAGGCTCCTTCTTTCCTTCGACTGTGTGAATTGCTACCACAATTTGGTTCCTATGGTGCTGGGACCAATGAGCCACTTCCCTGTTGTTAAGGGGCCAGTACCTTCCTGGGCCTGTGAGGCTCCCCTAAGGTCAACAACGCAGGGTATCTCCCTCCTCTCAGGTCTCCTAACTCTCGGCTTCTTCCATTTCCTGGTCCTAGCCAGGAAGAGAGGTTTTCAAGTTGCCTGTTATAACACCCCATTTATTCTCTCCTAAGAAGTCACTATTTTGCTCCCCTCACTGTTTCCATAGTTTGTGACATTTTCCATAACAAAAAAACTTTAACTCACAGAAGTGCAGAATTTATGCTGTGGCCCTCCCCGCAGCTCCATCACCTGCTAGCTTACAACAAACTTCACTCACACTGCTCATCCTCCAGGGTATTCTTTCACAAATCTCAGACCCTGTATACTTTTTCAGTACATTTTCCTAAAAGGGCCCTTTAAAAAATTAGCAAGCAAACAAACCATAATGCCATCATCTAAAAGTTTAATCAATCCTTAACATCACACGTCATTAGTTTTTTGGCTGTGTCAGAAATATTTTCATTCTTAGAAGCCCTGCCCACAATAATTCACTGTGTCCCACATGGCTCTTAGGATCACAGATCCTGTAGGTTCCTGATACTTTTCAAATTGGACAGGGGTAGGTTGCTGTTCAGCACTATGAACTTGGACAGATGTTCTCATTCTTGTTAAGCTCACTGTCCTGTCTGTAGCTAGGGCCTAGGGCCTCTCTCAAGGGGACTCTAGTAATGATGCCATTTTTGCAACTCATTCTCCTGCATAACCAGATGTGTCCATCACATCCTGGATGTCTCCTGCTGCAGACTTGCAGGCAACCCTTTTCCTGGGAACTGAGAGCCTGATCCATCACAGTGGTCTAACTCTGACAATCACCCCATGTACTGAATCTACCGCTCAGCATTATACCACCCAGATAGACCTTCCAGGTAGACCAGTACCACAGTGATAATGACAGGGAACCAGCAGCAACTCACATGGCTGTGCTTCCTGTCAGGTATAACTATTCACCTGCTAAATCCAACCAGACCCACACAGCCAACTCTGTATGTATACTATAGTGCTGGTTGTCATCAATACTGAGCAGCTGTCCAGGTACTGACCTAGGGCAGAGGACAGGTAGGCCTTTGGGATGGAAGGGAGGCACTTGGGGGGAACAATGATGACAACACAAAACTCACTTCTCAGTACTAGAAAGCATGAAAGCCTCGCTAAGAGAAACACAAAGTTGCAGAATGGTCCAGAAATTAACAACAGAGCAGCTGTTTGAGGGATGCAGGGAGATGCCAACCTTGTAGTGCCCATTGTTGGCAGCATCGTGCAAAGGCGTGTCATCATCCAGGCCCTTAGTGTTCACCTCTGCACCAGCGGCCAACAGCTGCTTGGCGATGTCATAGTAGCCCCGGTTACATGCCTCATGCAGTGCAGTCCAGCCTGAAAACAGAAACTTGGGATACTTGTTACATAACCCTTGAGAACCTCTAACTCCTGCTTCAGGGTTGTAGTGAATGACAAGGGATAAGGGGAGGGGTGACCTATGCTCTTCCCTGAACTGTGGCAATCTAGGCAAGCAATTATAGCCCAGAGAAGGTACAAATTTTCTTTACTGTGATGATTTATTTGCATAAAGATCACTTTATGCTAACTCACACCTTGTGCCAGTAATCCTTCATAAGTAGAAAATTTGTGTACGGGGCTATTGGCGCCTCAATGATCTACTCATCAATTAACACACTGGAAAAAAAAAATCAGGGAAACTGAGGCCAAGGGAGCTCCTGAAGACGGGAGGGCTAGCTGCTTTAGCAGCCTCAGGCCACTGGGGAGGGGGGGTGCTTTTTTGCAGGCAGCGTCCCCCAGAAGCCATAAATTTACCACCAAACGCAAGGAGAAGCAGTCCCCCCCCCCCCCCC